AGAAAATTTGGAACACTTATGCAGTGGAATATTATATTGCCATTAAAAATGAAATAATGTATTTCACAGGTAAGTGGATGGAACTAGAAAAAAATCATCATGATTGAGGTATCCCAGACCCAGAAAGACAAATATTATATGTATTTACTTATATGTGGATATTAGCTATTTTAAGTCAGTGATGATCAAGCTACAATCTGTAGAACCACCAAAGTTAGATATAGAGTACAGGACTAAAAGGCACAGATAGAAAAGGGAATTAGAATAAATAGTTATGGATTGTGGAGGGGTGGCAATGGTAAGAAAGGTTCAAAGAGGAGGGGAAAAGATGAGGGATGAGGGATGAGGGAGAATACAAGAAGTGACTGCTAAATTAAAGGCAATTGAAGGGTACCATAAAAACCTTATAAAGTAGAAGCTTCCTGAAATATATACATATACAAATGCAATCTAAAGCAAATTGCCAAATAATGGGAGAGAGTCCCAGTTGGCCATCTCTTGTCACCAAATGAAGTTTCAAGTACTGAGCTTGGGTTACATCTCATTGAGTTGTTGGCCAAATGGGCCCATAGGAACCTCTAAACAAACAAGGCTTGTTCTAAGACTATCCACAAACTGATGGCAATGCCCCATTGCTAAAGATAACTTTACAACTAATTCAGATAGTGCATACTTAGAGCCTTCACCCCTGTATTCTAGCCTCTTTGGTGCAGGAAGATATTGTGCATACTACCAAAAGAGTAATGTAAACAGCAGACCAGATGCAAAACCTGTGATCTACAATGGTGTACTGTCTGCAAGATATGCTATCTTTGTGATACAAAGCTTGTGGGAGTAAACCAACCAATTTCTCTTAGGGAGAGATGGAGCCCATGCCTGACACTGCCTGAAGGACCAAGAACCATTGACTGGATTGTCTAGTAATCGAGGATAAAACCAAATTCTACTGTATAAAATAAAAGTAGCAATAAAATGATGCCTAATAACTTTCTGATCTATACGTATAGATGAATGATTTGCTCAGTCATCACCAGAAAGCTTCTTCCTTCAGCAGATGGGAACAAATACTGAGACTCACAGCGAGACAATATATAGAGAATGAGAGACCTTGGAACAGCCAGCTCTAAGTGAAATGTCTCTATAAAATCCCTTCCCTAAGAGTTCAGGGACTCCTGTAAAAGACAGTCAAAAAAGGCAAGATCCACAGGGGATGGAGGACACCAAGAAATCAGGGCCCTCTAGGCCAACATGACTACAGCTCATATGAACACAGAGACTGAGGCAGCATGTACAGGTCTACACAAGGTCCTTGGCCTTTATATTACAGCTTTTAACTTGGTGTTTTTATGGTATTTGCAAGTGTGTGAAAGAGTGGGTCACTCATTCTTGTGCCTTTCTTGAACTCTTTTCCTTTCATTTGTTTGTCTTGCCCAACTTTGGGCAAGACATGTGTTAGCCTTTTTTTGTGTTACTATACTTTAGCACTATTCCTTACAAGTCTGTTTCTTGTTTTTCTAAGGGGAGGCAGAAATGGAGTGGATCTAGATGGGAGGGAAGATGGAGAGCAAATAGGAGGAGTAGAATAAGAAAAAAACATAGTCAGGATATATTATGTGAAAAAAAATCTATTTTCAATAAAAGGAAAAAATAAAAATATGTAAAAATAGTAAAAAAAAAAAAAACAAACAAACTTAGTGTGATTTTTCCAGTGAGAATCAATGAAGATCTCATCTATATGTATTTCAATATAGATGCAAGTAACTTATTACTTATGGATATGGGGAACAGTACATACATGGTTACACATTTGAATTGCAATTCCCTGAATGCAGAATGAAAACAGTTGAAAGATTATCAACGTTTAAAGTAGGCAAAAGAGTGGTATATCTGGGGAAATATTGTTTTGGGACCCACCATAAAGTAATTACAGTAAATAACTATCAGGATTATTGTGTTGATGTAGATGCTTTTAGCACAGATCCCAGAGATATAGAACAGTCAGTAGATATTAGCTTCTATTATTATGTGCTCAATACAATGATCTATTTTTAGTGTCATCATGAAAATGGCATCAGACTAGAAGAAATATTTAATTTTTTAATTTATTGGAATAATAACAAGTCATAAAACAACCCTCCAAACACTCTAAGTGCAATGGTACTTATTCTCACAATGAGTGAAAACAACTAATAGCTTTCACTACATACAAAATATTTTCCTTTTCTTAAACTAACATATTATAATTTATATTTACAAAAATACTGGGATCATTAAACAAAACCTCATCCATTATACAAAAGTGAGATGTTTTGGAGCATCTACCAGACTGGAACTCATAATTGTTTCATATTATTTTAAGCAAAGCTTCTTATTTTATTCTGTTAATAGCCCACATAAACTCTAAAGGAATGTCATACAAGACAAGCGAAGATACCAGAGTAGGTGATATCCTTGGAAAAATTAAAAGCTGTGCTCCCAGATACGTTTAAAACCCTTTCAGTGTATGAATTGATTAGCCAACTACAAGTTGTATTTCAGTTTTTGCTTTTGCCCCTAGCTGGACACTTATGGAAGAGAGTAATATATAAAGTCTACAGAAATGCAAATTATCTTTAAGATGTTTTACAGAGATAAATGCCAAATTCATGTGTGAGAATAAGAAGACAGCGTGAAAGAAAATGAGAGACCGCAAGCGAGAGACAGAGTGGAAATACACGGCTGAATGAGTTCTGTAAGATGATACAGAACAAACTCTCTGCTTGTACAGAATCATAGATATATTTGAGTATAAATACGTCAAGCTATGGCTCACAATCTGGACCTCTACGCTCTGACTTCTCATTTCTAAACCCGGGGATGGAAGAAACCCCGTGTTCCTTGAACAGTTACTATACTTTCAGAAACTCAGGAAATAAAAGCGAAGTCCTAACAGTATGGCAGCTCTCTGGCATTGCTGTGTGCTGTCAGAACGATCCTTTGAAGGGGATTTTGAACCGCTTAAGTGTGAAGAAAGTGACCTGACAACTAGCATAAACACATCCACTTGCTGATGTCTGCTCTTGATTGTGGGTGTAACATGATGAGCTACTTACACTGTGGCTGCCTTGATTCTGCCACAGTGCTGGACGTTAGCATGGGATGGTGAACGAAAATTAGCCTTTTTTCTCCCTGAAACTGCTTTGGTCTCAGAATTTTATCACAGCAATGGCAAAGAAACCATTATTTTTTTTTCACTATCCTTCTGTGGCAAGCGCTTTCTCCATGCTGACATTTCTCTAGCCAAAGTCCATTATTTTCAAGGCTTTAATTATTAAGACAGGAGCCAACAAAAGAAGAAGTAAATGACTTTGTGAAAATTAAGTTATTTTAAGGAAGCAATACTAAGTAGTGCATGTGCAGTAAATAGAATTTATTCTATTTTTTAATGTATGGAAATAGACTATTAATACCATAAAAACATCATCAAATAAAGAACTTTGTTAAATATTTTTAGACACGCTACTTTGTTAGTAATCCTTAATAATACTTAGTATTAACAGTAGCCTCTCACATTTTAAATTATTAAAAATACAGGAAGATGTGCTTATTTATTTTATTATATTCACTACCAGTAAATGAGAATGAACTTCTACAAGTGCACTTGTAAATAAATATAAAATTAGATGTAGATAGCACTATTTTATTGTCTAATAAAGATCTATATTTTTATTTTTGTGCATATATTCTAATTATTCAATTTTACTAATAAAATAAAAATAAAAACGGAAAACTTGCAAAAAACGTTTAAAATTTTTTTATCATTTTTATTAATGAAAGTAGAGTTTTTTTCATACAATATACTCTGTGATGATTGTCCCTCCCCAACTCCTCCCAGATCCTCCCCACCTCCCCAACCACTCAAATTTTCACTCTTTCTGGCTCTCTCTCATTAAAAAACAAAGAACAAAACAAAACAAAAACAACAGAACAAAACAACAGCAACAAAAAGCCAGGTGTCTAAAAAAGAAAAGAAAGAAAATAAAAAACAAATTTGAATGAGACAAAACAAACAAATGTACAGAAAAGCAACGTGGCAAGGGAGAACACAAGAAATATGTAAGGACTAGGAGACCCATACATGGAAATCTCATAAAGACACAAAACAGTAAACCATAATATAGAAGCAAAAGGCCTGTAGGGTAAGAAGAAAAAAAGGGGGGGGGGAATGCCCAACAAAGCATCAACAGACAATCAACTCTCCCATAATACCATTTAGTTCATTATGTGTTGGCCATCTACTCATCTACTGCTGGCCATGGATCTTGCCTTAAGAGTTGTTTGTATACTCGGTGAGACTCCATTGGAGAAAAAAAAATTATTTCATTGTTAATCAGTTATCAGTTGGAAACAGCTTCCGGGAGACTTGCAGGGAAACAAGGCCTTCTGAACACTATAACTGAAGCACATATGTGAACAGGCGGGGCTGGGGCAACATGTACAAGGTCTGAACAGATCTGGGCCTAATGGGGTCCCCGCTCTTTCAATCTTAAGCCATGGCTTTAAAAAAAAGATTGCTATGAAATCTTCACAAACATTCTAATTCAGTGGTGCCACTAGCCACGGGCACGATGCTTTCAGAAAGTGAAAACGGGAAGAGTCTGAGGGGAAATGAATTCGTGTGTCCATCTGGGGTATTTACTTCATTTTTTAGCATTTCAAAGTTTAAGAGGAAGTTGGCACCAATTCCAGTCTCAGGGGTGTGTTTTACTTATTTCTAGGACTGGTTTCCTGAATAGCCATCTCCCTATCCCTTGGTGGCTTCTCTTTGGTCTCCTGGTGACAGATCTGAACATCTAGGAACCAGAAAACGGGCCTCTAGCCACTCATTTTAATGGGCGTCATTCAGCAGCACAAACAGAATGTAATTGATTTTGTGACAGAGTTAATGAAAGCAACGTGTAACACAAGGGCCAGCATGTTAGCAATAGTGCACCTCCGAAGAGCAAAGTTTGGTGTGTTACCTCCTGATTAGCTGAAGCTAGTTCCTCTTCCAGTGCAGAGACTCTTTCTAAAGAAACCCTCAGTCGCTCCCTTACCTAGAAGAAAAATCAAAATACGTGCAGTAATGTACATCCCAAATACAGGAAACTGTGGTGAAGCCATCATTAACATAAGAGACGAATGGTTAAATTCTTCAAGCATTTGTAGCTCTAAGATCACCAACTCATAAACCTGTCATGAACAACATGGAAACACTGTCACCTCAGAAGCATCATTGTATCAAGGGGATTTCCTTATAGCAAACCCTTTTGTAGGTGAACTGATAATTGGGGTTGGAAATTGACTGGCCTTGCTCCAATTTCTGATTCATAATAAGAAGAGACAAAGTTCAAAAGTATAACCATTGATATCATTACAAAATGGTCAGTGATTAGCCAAGCAAAACAGGCCAAATACACCTTTAAAATAAGTGAATTTTATGTTGACTCCTGGTGCCTAACTTCAAAATGCTTTGTTTAAAAACAAAGAGTTCACAGAAACTGAAAATTTATTGGAAATTTTTTCAGTGACTACAAAGTGTTAATGAATTGGGAGCTCCCATATTGCACCCACAAACCCCAGGGGGAAGGCATTGCATTTTGTAGGACTAAACACATTTTAGTTTGAAAGCAGTGATGTTTTAAAATTGTTTCCTATATAATTGAAATTCACAAAACTGTTTCATTGACTTATACTTTTTGATAGCTTCTAAAATTGAAACCATGTGTGGTGGCACATGCCAGTCAATCCCCAATACTTCGAAGACTGAGGAGGAGGACTCTGAGCTGAAGGCCTGACTGAGATATATAATAAATAACAGGCCAGATTGGTCTACGTAGTAAATCCTGTGTCAAAAGAAAGCAAATATCAAACCAAATCAAGATGAAAAAAAAAGACACAATTCATCACAAGTTTTTGATTATTTATGACAACATATTTTCTACATAAATATAGAAATTTCTCAATAAATATTCATTTTAATACTATAGTTATATCATATGAACTAATTTGGTTATTTAATGGACTCTTATTTTATCATATGGCATTTTCTTAAATAATAAGGTTTAAATAGGAATATAAGCTAAATGTATAACTAATTGTATACAATTTTAATGTTGGAATAATTGCCTTGTTAATTATCCAAGAAATAGAGTAAGTAATGTTTCCTTAACTTTAGGGCAAAATATGAATTTTGAAGGTCTCAAACATTCATTTTTAACATTCTTTTATATAGTAGTGTGTACAGGCAGGTGACTGAGTGTACTTAAATGCTGAAGCATAGCTCAAATATAATATTACATTCTAACATTCTGTGTACTATTAATACAAAATAGAATAATATTTAGCTTTACAAATCCTATGCACTGAATCTCTATTTAGCGCTATATGACTGATTGCCATGACTCTGTGATTTAGACAAATATCAAGTTATTTATAATAACAACACTGAATTAAATTCTGATTAATAACTGAATAATACTCAGATGAAAATCTTTGCTGATTTGACTTGGAGGAGTTGTAGAATGTGGACCTTTATTTTTTTTTTATTTTTTTATTTTTTTTGGTTTTTCGAGACAGGGTTTCTCTGTGTAGCTTTGCGCCTTTCCTGGGACTCACTTGGTAGCCCAGGCTGGCCTCGAACTCACAGACATCTGCCTGGCTCTGCCTCCCGAGTGCTGGGATTAAAGGCGTGCACCACCACCGCCCGGCTAGAATGTGGATCTTTATGAAGGGCTCTGGTGGCACTGGTTGATGAGAACAACCTGAAGACAGCTCAGTACAATCACTGATGTCCCTGTATACAATGATGATCGGGGCACTCTCAGAATGCCACCGAGAGGTAAACATTAACTGAAATGTTGATACATTAGAACGTTTCTAAATTAGTGTTGGAGTTGAATAAAAATTGCCTGAAAACAAGCTGTAGGTTAAAGTGTCTTCTTAATCATTTCTGTTAGCTCGAAGTCTTCCTAATCATTTCTGTTAGCTCGAACATCTTAGGAAATCTTAGCTACTAGTTCCTTTCACAAGTTAAGCATTTCAAGAAATAAAGTCTTAAATCTATCAAGAAATATGAATAAAGAATCATATCTCCATAAATTTTCAAATGTTTTGACAAGTAAAGATATATTAACCATGAAATAATGAATCTAAAACTGTCTTTATATGAATATAAACACATTTTAAAATATAGTTTTAATTAATACTATGCATGCAAAAATATTTTTGCAGCCATTATCAATAAAGAATACCACAATAATATTGAATTATTCACTTTGCTTCTCCATTTTAGACAAAATTTCAATTAATGGTATGTTAGCTTTATCTACCAAACGTTGTAAGGAAAAGAAAGGAATGCAAATATGGAAACTTTCCAGGGATAGGAATTTGACAAGTTTTCCTTATCTGGTTGGCTTTAGCTGTATCACAGGGAAAATCAATATGTATCAGAGAATTTTCAGCTCCTTGCTCTGCCTTGAACATTGTACTAGCAGAATATCATCATTGTTTTTAATAATTATTTTTCTTATTGGATCACATGATGTGTGTTTAGGCAGATAGATTTGATAGGTCATGCAAAACAATAATTGTTTAAATTTTGTCCAAAGAAGTGCACAGTTGCAGTTGGTAATTGTTCCCTAACGCTTCTCTTTTCATTGGCTTTGAACTACTGCTTTCATGAGTTTTTGCATTACATGCATTTGCTTTTTACACAGATACATGGTAACCTCCAATCATATTATTTGTATTCATCAAAAAATTATTTCTAAATTAATCTGTTACTTCTGTATTCTTCAAAACCATACAAAAATGCCCAGTGCAATGTTTTCTTCAAAATATATTTCAAAGAGATGGTAATTTTATCAAAGGAGATTAATGGAAAACAAGTCCCTTAATACGACAAATGTATCACCCAATGAAGAGGTTGATGGAAGAAGTAAACATTCCAAATTAAAATTAAGATATTGCAAAGTTTCACTGTGGTAATTACTAATTCTATTACAGAAAATTCTGTGCAGAAACCTTCTTTTTTTTTTCAGAGATGAGGACTGAACCCAGGGCCTTGCACTTGCTAGGCATGAGCTCTACCACTGAGCTAAATCCCTAACCCCAGAAACCTTCTTATTCTAGATGTTCAAGTCAAGTTTGATTCTGTGATAATTGACCATAAAAATATGATTGGTAAACACGGCCTTACATATATATGTCAGTGGTTACATAAATGAATGTCAATATTTAAAACTCCAAGCCATTATAATGGTCAATACCCATGCTCAAGTTTTTATAGTTCATTTGTTTTCTATGATAAAGTTTTACTTGAGGCATAATTGATTATATTCTCTTATCTTTTTACTCTACTTTTATATCCATAGCCTTTAGGTTAAAATGCTAATTAGTTATTTATATACCTGTGTGTTTACTCCTCCCTATTCTCCTAAGAAACTGAGTTACTCCCAAGGAAACAGTTCATGAAGGCACTTGGGTACAAATTAGTTCCTCAATAAATAAATGAAATGTTATTTAAAACAAACATCTGAGCCAAGAGGGAGATCAATGTCTTAGTTTCAAACTTTTAACAAATGTTGACATTTTCAGATGCTAATTAGAATATTCTTTGACATTAACTGAAAAGATATCCTTATATTAATCAGTGGTTCAAAGCTTTGCATGTTTTATAATAGATGACCCTTCCAGCCATTCTAGGTAGATATGGTTATTATCCTCATCTGAAAAACGGAGTGGTTATATAGAGACATTAAGCCACTTGTACAGACCTGTCTACTCGAGAGGGGAATCTCAGCATTTTATAAGTTCATAGGCACCAGTTCAGTTTCTCATGAACTTGCCAAGATCTGTGACACTTGTGGAACATTTATAAAAGCTATAATTATTTTTAGGATTATATTAAGGAATATTTCATTTTTGCTGTACTCAATTGATGGGACTACTATATGATAATTGTTTTATATTGTTCTAAATGTACTCACAGAACTGGGTTGTTGTCTTCAAAGCATTTATTAATTTTACTCTGATACCAAAAATCACTTACTTGCTTAAGTGATGTCAGAGTTCTTGCAGAGAAACATAAAAACATTATACATTTTCTAATATATTTATCTAAGTTTTTCAATATAGTTGTTTCCTCTGGAAAGGGCATGCTGTTCTCACAGATCCAGGTCATTTTATATACTGACTCTACTGGCTACAGTACCTGTCTCTGGCTTTTACTTATTCTTTAATATTTAGGTAAAATATGATTCATTTTTTAACTCCTTTGCCATTCCGATAAAATTAGAAAGTACATTTGTGATGGCATGGGACATTGTGCATTTGTGTTTGTAAGTATCTGTCACTGTTGTGTGAATGCCTAGGACCCGGAACTCATTAGTCACTAGGGGAATGTCTTTGTATGGCAAATCTGATGCAAAGCAAATAGTCTATAAATTCTTGTGGAATTTTGTCTCTGAATTTTTATTACAAAAGGAAATGTAACAGAAACTAAATAAGTAAAATTATTTGCTGTTAGACTTAACATGGCTCTTTATATGACATATTTTATCCTCTTCAAAGTTTTCAGTTTTTGCCTCTCATAATCAAAATGAAAGTGGGATACAGCTTCTCCTTAATAATCTAGAAGACAGAATTAGTGTTATCCTTGTACAGCCAATTCACATAATCCTCTGTTTTAAGAACTGTCTGAAAGACTGATGATAATAATATATAAGTACATAAATATTAAATGGAACTAAATTCTACATACTTAAAACTTAGATATAAACTGCAATAATCCCGAGTCTGAATTTTCGTGTTCAGAACTTGTCATATATTTTACATTGAATTGCCCTAATTCTTGCTATGCTAAATCCTAAAACTTCTTAAATTTTGAAATCACTTCTTTGAACTTTTATAGAAAAGAAATTGTGTCATAAACCTTACCTAATCTCTAAAGGATATTTTCTCCAGATTGCCGTATATTTACCGTAGGACTTGTTTGCAGAGAAGAAAGGGCTTACAGCTACTCTTGGAAACACCAAGAAATGAGTTTTCCTTCTAATATGCTATGTTGTTACCAGCAGCCACTGTCATCATGTGTATTTGAAACTAAGATGTTAGCAGACTCCCCCACAAGGGAGGCATCAAATATAGTTAAAGCATGCCTGATTTGCACTTCAAAAATACATGTGGTTTTCAGTTACTACTCTGATAGTTTGGAATCTATGGCATCTATGGACATGGACTTCAGAGAAAGGGAGATGGGGAGATGGTTGAGACAGAGACAGAGTGACTGCATAATACCACACAGTACTAGATGTTAAATATGCCTCTGGACCAAGGGTGTAAGGATGTAATAAGGTCTAATTCTGTAAAGTTGTACATTCGGTGGTATAAATAAAAGAACATGGTCATGAATCCTGTCCATCCACAGTCACTGGATTTTAAAGTTTTTGTTTTTTGTTTTTTTTTTGCATAACTCAAACGTGTTCCTTTGACCTATATTACTTGTTGATTTGTGTGAAAATAAGGAGCTTGCAGCTAATAACAGAAGCACAGTGTGGCTTGAAAAAAAATATTATCAGAACTGTACCTTTTCATCCAAGGCCTTGTGGTGCTCAAACAAAGATTTCAGTGCCTTGAGAACCTCCACCTCACTGGACACTCCTGAGGGAGACTGAGCTTGCCGCTTCACCACGGTCATTCTCAGTGACCTTTCATGTCGTGACACAAGGCACTCCAAGTGCTCCAGTAACAGCTGTGGGATCAACAGAAGACGCAGTTATCTTATGAACACAGCTGATCAGCATATTTTGGTGAAATCTAGCTTAAACTATTAAAAGTTTTCATAGCGCGCATGGTGACCCTAGGGAATACAACAGGGAACAGAAAAGAAATACCACTTGGTTAACTCAGTATGTATAAAACACATTAAATCCAAACTGCCTTCAGTCACATAACAAATCACTGAATAATAAGTAATGATATACATTCTTACAGTGCAGTGGCTCTCAACCTTCCTAATCCTGTGACCCTGTAATTACAGTTCCTCATGTTGTAGTGACCCCCAAACATAAAATGATTTTCGTTGCTATTTCATAACTGTCATGTTGCTATTGTTATAAATCATAATACTAACATCTGTGTTATCTGGTGGTCTTAGGTGACCCCTTGTGGAAAGGTTGTTTGAACTTCAATTGGGATCATGATCCATAAGTTGAGAATGTCTGTTCTATCAAGTATGACAACTTAGTCTTGAAATCAGTGGAAGTCAAAGACCAGAAAAAAATGTATATGGGTCAAGAAGATTGCTATTAGCATTTATTCCAATAAATACAATTGCATTATAATTTCAATGTAATCTTTCATTAATTTTTTGAGAATTGTTTTCAGAATATGTCATGATGTTGGCTTTTATTTTAAGTAGTTGTGTTCTATTTGCTTGTTGTAGTGTAAACTGCATAAGAACGAGAGCCTTTTATGTATTTAGATGGCAATCTTTTGATCCTTTATGTACTTGAGTAGCATGTGGAAATACACAATGAATTTCTAAAGTGAAGTAATTTTCCCTGTATGTAGACTGATCAGTGTCAATATTAAACATGGATTGAGGCTTCTTTGAATTACTTCTTAAAGGCTCAGACTAATTAATATGGTTATAAGCACATGCATGAGTGTTTCAGCTAGATGATATTCATGAAAACCCAAACTTTATAATTAAAAATTTCCCTACATGTAAATGGAGTTATGTAAATTCAGCTAATATCTGTTAATCTTACATTGCCTGGTGCCAGTGTAGGATGAGAAGTGTATGGTATAATGTTAACTTTATGGAACATAGTGAAGTATTATTCTACCACTAAAGACAGCTGTCGTTAGAGGCCTCCTAAATCTTATCACTCTATATTCTTTAGGAAAGTTTTTCACACTGCAAAGTCCACTTTCCCAACATAGAACACACTCACAAAAACAAAGTAACAAACAAACAAAAAAAACTATAATTTTCTGTCCCTTTTTCATTTCTCTTCTTTTTTTTTAAACCACACAGATTTTACTAATTATACATCCTCGTAAGATAAAAGCCTTCTGAAGAGGTGTCTGAAAGCATCCTTTTTGATCCATGGGTACAGCAAAGGAATCCCAAGTCTCTGTTGACCTTGAGAAACAATCAGTTTCCTCATCACCTTTTGCAGTGAGTTTCCAGACTTTAGTTCTGAAAACGCAGACTATAGACATTATTTTCTTTAACAATTCTACCAAAATAAGAATTCTTCCCACCTGCCAAAAGTAACTGTCTGTTTAAAGTAACTACAGGGAATTGTGTTTTCTGCAACTAAGAGCACAGTGGCACTCAAGTTATTTGGTTCTACTTACTACTTAACTTCCTTATAAAAATGGTCATATGCCATGACCTGGTCACTTTCTTATTAAGTGTGTTAACTTTCTGGTTCTTTCAATTTCCTTCCAGCATTACTCCATTTATAATTCATGGCAAGGTCTATTATTATTCATTTAGATGACTTTCCCAATATTTCACCCTCTAAATTTTGTCTATTCTAATAATCTAGATTTCTATTCTATCTAATTTTACTCACATCCCATGATTTCATTATAGACGCTGCCATTACCAGTAAGTGCAACTGTTTTGTAGCTGTAGATCTATCCTCTAAGCCACAGATTACTAGATTTCTAGCTTGCCTATTTATATGCTTGACCTAAAAAAAAATACATTCACTCTCAAGTCCTTGTACCACAGGGATTTGTTATACTGTGCTCACACTCTGTATACCACAACTTACATCTTCCATTCCCCTTTGAATAATTAATTGTTTTATGTCTGTCAGCCTCCAGAATTCAGCTACCTGCCAATATATTCACTGAAGCCACATGGGCTCAGGATTCATTATCTCCTCCTGAATTAATGCAGTAACAGCTTGTTAACTGGATCACACATTTTTATCATTTCATCCATTGGGGTACTACCCAAAACACTGAAATTTAAAATACAACCTAGGGCCTCCGTGCTTGAGCTCAAGTCCTTAATGTCTTCTCATTTGGCCAAAGCAAAAGCCAGAGTCCTTCCGTGTCTGAAGTGAAATCTAAATTATCAGAACTCATCTCTTTTTCTCACTTGTCACCTGCAATGGCTTTGTTGAAGCATCTGTGCATGGAGTTTTGCTTAACTTTGTAAAATAGCAGGTATCTGTTTAACTGCATCAGGCTTTTGTCGTAAGCACTTTATTTTCTTTTTTAACTTACAACGCTCCCTTTAAGCCCTGCATGTCCTTAGCACTCTGCAATCTCTGACTTATTGCTAGTTGTGTCACTTCTTCAACTGCTTCTTCAAGTCCTTATGCTGCTGCTTCTTTCTCTATGTGGCATCAGTCCCTCTCTGCCTTTTCCATCCAGGTTTACTATGGTCATTCACTGTGCCCCAAATATTAATATCAGGCTTGTAAGGAAAGGAAGATGCCCTCTCCTCTTCTCACTTCTGAATCTCTGTGCTCACAAGATTGTATAGAGGTCATGTTCACTCATATTTGTTGAACGAAAAATAAAGTATTAAAGTCACCATTTATTGATTTATAAGGATACCTTATAAGGGTGTTTGAGATGTATGTTCTGGATAAATTTTGCTAAAGTAAGTATCTGATTAATTACATAAGAAAGTAAAATCTTCCATGGTGTATGGAGGAAAGATAGTTATGTAAACAATCAACTGCCCATGATTCATTCAAGTGGTGATCTTGGAAAACAAGACATTGTTGAGTTGAGTCATTGCTGTCATCAGATAGTTTGAAAACCGTGAAGAATACAAGCACAGTGAGTTTTGCTTGATGCTTTCAATAACACTGAAGAAATTAAAAAATAATAAATAGAAGTGATTAACTTTCCAAATTCTAGTGCTGGAGTCATTCAAAGATCCACTTGTTATTTAAAAGACAGACAATAGTTTCATGTATTAGAGGTTACTATATTATAGTACATTATAAACTCACATTTGTAACAAGTGTCTTGCATGGAAATGCTCCCATAATAATCCAAAATGGCAATAGAAACTGGCAAAGAGAAATCTGAGAAGTTTCTCATGTGCTAACCACATATCACATTGATATACCTGTCTCTCTGATGAGGTCAGTCCCATTTGTTTTAATCTATCTGCGTAAATTTCAATGAAAGTGGAAGTCTCATCAAGGAAATCTGTGCTTATCATGCCCTGCTCTAAAAATCCCTTCTTCATTTCAAAATTTTAACTAGAATATGAGGTGATACAGATCAAACTTTAAGAAGAGAAGGCCTCCAAGATTTTTTCTTTAAGTGTGATTTTTTTTCTTTTAAATTTGGAATCTCAGAATCCTGGGACTACACGTGAAAAGAAGCCAATAAAATTCCTTAGGAAAGGGAGGCAGAGCCAGGCGGATCTCTGTGAGTTCGAGGCCAGCCTGGGCTACCAAGTGAACTCCAGGAAAGGCGCAAAGCTACACAGAGAAACACTGTCTCGAAAAACAAAAAAATAAAAATAAATAAATCCTTAGGGAAAAAATGGGATTGAATGTTTGGTCTGATTGTTTCCTTGTTCACTACTTCTGGCAGCATCCAATAACACATGGCACAGCATTTTTAGTATCTGTGATTGATTGCTGTATGTACTGTCTGGGCTATTTACGGACTCCTCTGCTACCTTCTGAAACTATCAGCACTGTAAAAATCAAGTCTAGTAAAAAAAAAAAAAAGAGGGGAGGGGGGACCCAAGATGTCTGGTACTCTGAAGGTGGCAGAAGAGTGTACCGAAAATGGAAAATGTCATCAGAGGAAAGCAAGATAACAGGGTCACCCTCATACTAAAGACAACAAAGCTACCACAACTACAGCAAAGAAACTCACCTGAGACAAGAAAACATGGCTGCCACAATGCCCCCAAATGATAGTTATCTCAGCTAATATAGCATCAGTGCCTGGAGTTTTAAAAGAGGGGACCACACCAACTAAAACATTAAGTAGCAACTCCTGGTACCGTTGGACTTGGCACTCTGGTTAAGTGGGCAAAGGATGCTCATAACAGGCAGGAAGTTAGTGAGGGAGCCTGAGCTCATGAGAGAGTGGAAGAAGAACAAAGAGAGGGTGACTTTGAGTCAACAGATGAAAATATCAGCCCCTACCCTTGCCTCTGAAGTCAAGGGCAAGGAACCGGACCCCCTGATGATGACATAGCTGACCTGGGAAATGCGACACAGAAAAAAAAAGTTGTTGTAAGATCACAGAAGCCAAAGGAAAGGAAGGTCATGCAAAGGGTATTCCTGCGAATGCTGAAAGCGGAGGTGGAAAGGAGAACAAGTGATAAAATGCTGAGAACAGAGTCAGAGTACCAAGGACAGAGGAAGTCAGGAGGATGAGGTGGAAAAGAGCAAGATGCAGGAATACTTCACAAAGGAAATGAGCAATAAGAACATGGTTCTGTGAACCCAGAAATCCAGGGCCCCAGAATCAACTGCATTTGTCACCCTGTCTTGAAAAATCTGAACGTTCACAAGTCTAGTGTTAAAAATTGGTATCTGATCTTGCTTTTTATCTGAAACTGCTTTTGTTGCTGGGCTCAAGCCTGGTACATCAGGATTACATGGACTCCAAATCTCCGGAGAGCCCAGGAAAAAGCTTTGGAACGCACCACTCTAAGCCCTTTCTATTGAAATAAAACTGGAGAAATTAAAGGAAAAGACAAAAAAAGTGAGGTTTGAGAATATGTTAGGGCAAACTTTT